TTCAAGAACAGAACAAAACCCAACGCAGATCAAAGAGGGGACAAAAAGCCCAATTTTCTGATTCCTACCTTGTTTATTCACGACATCGTTAGGGCTTTGAAAGAATGATGTCTATCCACTCCTGCAACTTCTCTTTGGATTTTGAGACCCTGTTTGTAATCTTTAATGATTTGATCACAGTGATGTAAAAAATGAGGCTCATTTATGTACTTAAAATCATTAAGAGTTCTGTATATTATTTGTTCAAAGGGATTTTTGCTTGCAGGGTGGGATTGTGAGAAATAACAGCTTTGGTTGCAGGGTGGAGGCTGTCTGGGCAAGGTGGCTGTTCTGAGCATTTAGTTTTACTCCTTCACAGCCCAAATTAAAAATTATTATTAATATGGCTCTTTGGGCTATAAAACATGTTGCACAACGTGAAGTATCCCAGTAACACAGTGCAAGAATTTCACTGAACTTCTTGGCAATGCAAAAACCAGCAGTAAGCCTGCTCCATAACAGGGTATTTAAACTAAGCTTTAGTGGAGCTGGAAGCCAGTGCATAGCAGGCTCCTGTCAGGAGGTTTTACTGCTGGTTTGCTGGGTCTTGTGTTTGTACATTTTTCAGTTTCTTGGTAGACCCTAAACTTTTAAAGCCTTGAATCACAACTATTTATCACGCATCAGGGAGCTCCATAAAATGTATTTTCCTTCAGAGAGATTATTCTCATTAATGAAAAAACTAATTTAAAAAAGAGACAATATGTATTTTTTGAACTCTCCAATCTAGCCCAACTAAGAGGGATTCTTAAAACTAAATACTATGAGCCACAAAAAAATTAATGCCACCTGCAAGCTGTAAATATGTGTATTATTTAATTTTTTCCAAGTATTTTCTTTGGCTGTTACATTCAGCTGAACAAGGCCTAAAAATTGTCAAACTGAATTCTTGTTTCAGAGTAGAGCTCTAACTACTGCCAGTTTGAGTGAAACACACATCCAGGTTTAGGGAATATGTTTTATTTATTTTGGCTGCAGTGCAGGGTAGAACATTTTCCATCCCATCCGAATGCAGTCAAAAAGGTTTTGAAATATTGCACAATAAAAGCCATTCATTATATCTGTCTCCTCTCCCTTCCAAAAACAGAACTGGCTGACCAGTTCCAAATCTGTGCAGGGGGCAGGAAGATGGGAGTCAAGGGGTCACTGGAAATAACCCAAGACTAACACCAGGTTTTTCAGGTTTGAGTTAGGGAATATGTTCCATGCCCTCATTCCCAGCGCGCACAGGTTTTTCTTCTTCCCCCTCCAAAGCCTGGCTAAAGTAGTTCATTGCTCTGTTATGCACAATTTACAGGACTTAATTACAAAACTAATACATTAGCCTTCTTGTCTGTAAGTCACAGGCACAACTTCATCTTTCCTCCTGGGACACAGTGAAATTAGACCTTACCTTGTTTCAAGTGAAAGCATTTTGATTTGCACTGTTTACCTCCTCCTCTTATAAACGTGCAATTTGAAGGAATACCCAACTACACTTTACTGTTTTAGATTGATTTCCATTGCTCACCTACCTGTTAGCAGCTTGAAAACAGGATTCTTTCACTGCCCTCTCCTGCTCTGTGTGCTTAAGCAACACTTGACATACTTCAGTGGTGCTTTTTTTCCCCTTCCTCTCTCCATTTCCCTGTACACGGATCTAACAATGCTTTTCTGTTTGCTTCCTTGGGCACAGATCAGTTCATCACTAAACTCCTTTCAGGTTTAAGTGAAGTATCAGAGTGCTAAAGGATTCAGAGTGAGAGGTGGAAAAGTAAAACACAGTTTTTTTAGTGCATTTCTAAACAGCAGCTAGAATAAATGAACATACAATAGTGAATTTTATATACCACGCTTAGGTGGTTCAGTATGCCCTTCTATGGCCCAATTAGTCAAAAGCAAGCTGAGAAGAATAAACTAAAGACCAGGTAAAGCTTTAGATACAACTGACATTTAAGAAAAAAAGCAGAAAAAACATACAATTCTTGTTATATCCCCCCCCCCCCCCCCCAACACACTTACCATGAATGTCAGGTTGGGAAAACTACTTCCATTAACTCCCATTTGAGAAAACTTGGGTCATATCCTCTCCACTTTTGCACATCTTCATTATGGCAAAATACTGGCATAAGACAATTCCTGGAACACACTAATACTTTCCCTTTAAAATTTCCTGAAGAATTCAGGTGTGGATACTGTTGTTCTTTGTATCTCTACCTCACATTAAGCAAGTTTAAGCAAAGACCATGCCAGCTGTGAAATACTTCTTACCACTCAGAACTCAGCTATCTGAGAATGTATGAAGCCTGCACTTCACAGGATAGCGCAAGTGATGTGTAATTACTCTTCCCTATTAACAACATCATAATTACAGAGCAGCAAAATCATCAGGCTTTCTAGGAGCCACACTTGTCCTTTCTGTCAGTCAGAGCATGATAATTACATGGCAATCTGGTAAATGCAATTATTGGGCAATATACACTGAATGCTATTATCCTACTTGAAGCCCTTTAAAGCCTATACAATATAGCACTTAACATTAGTAAAGTACTTTTAAACACAAAGTAAGCTTTGTAACAACTTTCTAAAGAGAGGAAAAATACTCCCTTTAGAAGAGCAGGGACAGTAGATGAGACTGGTCAACTCCATAGGTTTAAGTGCCACTATAATACACAGACTGACATGGAGCTCAATACAAAACAGTCACCAAGTCCAAGGTGGCAAAGACTAGCACTGGAAAGCACATCAATAGCCGAAAAGTAGGACTCCAAACTTAAAATATCTCAACACATCTCCACTGGCTCACAATACACTTTGAATTTAATCCCTATACCCCAATATGGCAATGAAGCCAAGAGATGTCTTCAGAAAGCTCTTGATTGAATGGGGATAGTGAAGTTGCTGGTCACTCTAAGGTTAATGTTAACTTACTTGTAGAAAAGCAAACCTGTAAGTGGGACAGCTTTGTTTATTCTGCTGCTACACTTCCTGTATAACAGCAAAGACACCAAGCTGTAGGTTACACAACTTCAGGAGTCTATAATCTTCTGAGGAAGAGCAGTGAGTCACTCGAGATCTGAATGTTCCACATACTAGGAGCATTTTGCTAGCCTTGCATAAAGAGCTCTCTCCCAAGTGCCCCAGTTCTTTCCCATGCTAAACAGCCCCCAGTGTTAGCAGTCCTCCAGCTCCCTATTCCATGACAGATTCTACCTCAGGTCTTAGCTATTAGGCAAGTCCCAAATCACCTCTTGCAACCCTAATCTCCAGCAATCAAAAAACACAGCCAGAAGAGACCACAAGAGGCCATCCAGGCCCTATCCCTACCCCTAGGAAGGATCATATGTCATTCCTGACAGATATTTGTTTAATCTGTTCTTAAAAGCCTCCAGTGATGGAGATTCCACAACTTCCCAAGGCAATGTATTCCCATGATCAACCACCTCTGCTGCTGGAACTTTTTTTTAATGTTTAACAGAGACATTTTTTCTTCTAATTTAAACACATTATTTCTTGTCCCATTCAGTACAGATATGGAGAACAGATTATTACCTCCCCCTTACAACAACCTTCTGCATAACTCAAGACTCCTCTCCTCTCAAGTTCTCTCCAGGTTAAGTCCCATTCACTGCAACCTCTTAATTTCTCTGTAGGATCCAGATTCATCCTCATGCAAGCCATGCAAAGTGCCATCAAGCATCTACATTTAATTCCTAACGGTCTTTTCCAACCTGGCAAGTTCTGCCATGAAGAAAAGCCAAGCTTTGTTTTCTTCTCCGTATCCTTGCTCTTCTCTTTCTGACTTGACTTCACATCTGCAGTGCACTTAGCCTTCCCACTCAAGAAACCTCAAGAGAGAATTCTCTTCTAGGGCTGCAGCAACTGATGCATAGGACAGCAATATTAGGAAAAGCATGTTCCAGGCAGCATTTCACGTTAAGCCCTCAAGCATCACACACAGCTGCAGTGCTCTACCATGTTTAAGAACACAGCGTGATTTCTGTATGGAAAGTCATACCTGAATACAGTACAGCAGTTTCACTTTTCCAAATTCATTTCGATGTGTAGCACAGTTGCTGGCTTGATTTTTTAAATGTCAGAAGTAGCAGCTATTATTAGTTTTCATTTCAAGGAGCAGCTATTATTAGCTTTAATCTCCAGGAGCTTTAAAGTTGAACCTCAGCTAGTATGTTACGTGTATGTTATGTGCATGTTATATTAAACCATAAAAGCTCATGTCAGACTGCCCTCTCCTGGTAAACCATCAGATTGCACTGCAAGCAGTTCAACCCAAGGAACTATCACCCTTCTGTCTCCCAGTCTAAAACAGTCACTGAGACACAAAAGAAAACCCCAAAATAAAACATCAAGAAAACTGGGTTTGGAGGTATTTAGATGTTTAGATGTCACACTGAGGGACACGTTTAGTCGTAACTTGGCAGCGCCAGGTAACAGATTTGATCTTACAAGTCTTTTCCAACCAAAATGGTTCTGCAGCAACTTCAGCAGCATTTCTAAAGTGGCATAAGATAAACAGCATTTAAGTAGTGAAGTTTCTTTCAAGTTGCCTTTAGGAATTCTTGTCTTGGGACAAACTGATGATGGCTGCAGAGAAAAGTAAAACACGCATAAAAAAATTAAACTGCTCTGTTTGCTTTTAACCATTGTAAAAGCAGCCAAGCACATAAAGTATTTTATTCCACATCAAGAATGTTAAAACCAAGGTCACAGCAGAGATCATTTGCAATGGAAAGCTATTTCCTTCAAGCTGGCACAGGTATTTTACTATGGCTGAAACACAACAGGATGACAAATGAAAGCAACAGCAAATGTGTAAGGAGACCACCTACAGTCATCACTTTTTATTACACTGTTCAGACTAGAAAAATGAAAACAGAAAGACAAGAGGTCAACTTCTGGAGGATATGCACTGTTCACACACACACACACACACACACACACACACACACACACACACACACACACACACACCAAAGCTTGGACATGGCCAGAGGTGGAGCACAGCTTTACTGTATGATGAATGTTTCACTCTCCTTAACCAATTTATTTTTTTTAAATTAGTTTTAAATATGACAAAGATTTAATTTTTTTTCCACTAATGTCCAACCTTCACAGCAGAAACAGAATTCATTAATTCTAACACAAAACTCAGCCTTACTTATAGGGCCTCTACCCTTGCTCATGCCCAGAAGGTAAAGCAAAGTCTTTTCAGAAGATGGTAACAGCTTCCCCGCCTTCTACTCCTCTCCTTTAAGCCAGAAGTGATTTCTTTCTTATTTGCAGAGCAACTTAAGGGGTCTTTTTAGGATAATTTTGAAATCTGGAAAAAAAAATCATGCAGATTTCAAAAGCAATTTATAAGGAATGCTCAAGCACATGGGAAACATTGACACTTCAAGCAATTCTAGCTGGACGGGCATAATTTACAACAGTATGCTATAACTACTAAAGACAAAGTGACATTTTATCTACTTCAACTTCAAAAATATAACAAAGGCTTAAGCTTGAATCCTGTTCTTTCAAAAGAAAGAGCCCTATCTAGAAACTAACTTGTCACCACAGACTTTCTGAACTATCAAGTTCAGTCCTCTTTACTGAGAGTCACACATTTGCTGACACATGTCCAGTTTAGCAGCTTCCTACGCTTACTGTGCATTTGAGTGGAGCAAATGGAGCGAGGTGGTCTGCTAAACACATCCAGTTGAATCATCACAACCAAGCTCCAAAGGCTAAAATCCCAGCCTGCTGTGCAGGTACCACAAGTGTAAAGATTTAGCAAGAAAATCTCAGACTATAATAACAAGTGTGCAAATGCACATCAATGTTACTTAAATTCTGTATATTGTCTTACTTGAGTTTTCTTCTAATACTAGCAGTGTTTCATTGCTATTGACCTGTAGAGAGCACAAACTCTGAGAACATGTAAGCAAGGATGGAGACTATAGCAAAGGGGTGATGTCAAATCCACTTCATGATAGAAGTTTTTTATCCTCCCGATTACCTGCCATGACTGTCTACCAGAGCAATGCTCTCAGCCAAACTAGGTTTTCCACACAGTTCTGATCTTCAAGCATTTTAGGCATCAAGACAAGGAAAATCACTTCAAAGTTATTCAGAAAAATTAAGAAAGAAATAGTAAGTAAGGAAACGTAAGTGGGAGAGAGAAGAAAACAGCATTTAAGAGAGAGAACATGAGTCTAATACTGACCTTCACTTTAGACAATCAGATGAAACCTCACTAAATGTTATTTTCAAGAGGTATTTCTAGTTCATCATAATGATTCTGGTTACTTCTGTCCTTCCTGTATACAGAATGTCTTCTGCTCCTTCTCCGGGTTGGAGAGTAAGTTCGTGTTTCTTGAGCTGTGAGTTCACACATGCTTTTCCTCCTCCATCTTTTGGAAGGCCCGTCATCAAGATTAACAGAGTCATTGTTCTTCCCTGATGCTGAAAACTGGAGAAGATTTTGTCTTTTATGGTGAAGTTTCTCAGATTCTGTAAAGGTGGATGTGCTTATTGTCCTTCTCCTGGTTTTGCAAGCAGAAGCTACCAGGGGAGGGTTCTTCTGGATCTCACAGGGTACTTCAATCCATGCAAGTCCTTCAGTTTCTGCACCTTTATGTAGTCTCATGCTGCGCCTCACTCTCATTCCACCACTGTTGTCACTCTTCTGTTTTTCTAGATGAGGAGCAGAGAAGATTTCTTCCACATTATAAGAAGCAAATGGAAGAGAGTTTCCCATGGGAAGAAAACACATGGCACTGCTGCTTCTTCTTCTTCTTCCTCTTGATGGACCACTTCTTGTTGAATCCTTTTGTGGACACTGAGTTCTTTGGGCATCTGCATGTTCACTCATGTCCTGTTGGTTCAGAAGCTCCAGCCCTGTCAGCTGCTCTGCCTCATTGAGGAGATTTTCTCGTAATTTCCAATTTTCTATCAAGAAACCACTTTCTTTTGCCTTTTTTACACAGGCAGTCTCTTCACCTTGTTGGAAATGGTCAGATGTATCAAAAGCACACTTCGCATCTGGCATGTTTGAAAACTGGGGAAAGAAATTGTTTTTGTAAATACAGGCAAATGTAACCCACAAAAACCTGGTTCCAAAGAGCTGACAACTAAACACATGCAACTGTTTTCCTGCTAAGTCTTGTCATTCACAAAACACCCCAACCAACGCACTGAATCCTGAAGGTTGAAATGTGGACTAAACTTCTGCTGAATGAAGCACTTCTAAGTTCTGAATACCTCCTTCAAAGGCTGGGGGTTCCACAGCCTCTCCAGGCAGCCTGTTCCAATATTGAATCACCCAGGTTTTTAATTCCCCAAAATATTACTTGTTTTATTCAACAACATCAAGCACAATTCTGATTTTCTAGCAGTATTCCTCAGCTTATCAGTTACCTCCTGTTCATTGCCAGACACAGGCTCCAGATCTCCCTCTGGCACCTGGAACACTGTGTCACTGGGGCTGCTGGCTTCTCCTGCATCCAGATCCTCAGAGCCTGAGAATGTATGAATCACACAGGTGGTTTTTCCTCCTATTTCTTCAGCCACCAGCTTCTGTTGAACATCCTTGCCAGCATTTCCAGATTTGGTATCCTCTAAAAGTACGTCCTCTGGATTGGAATAAGCATGTGGTTACTTGACTCTAATGGTGAATGGACAAAGCTTTTTGTTAAATACTACAACACAAGTTTTATAGTATTTTATTTACATACAAGTAACCTTCTAAACAACCATCCCACAAAAGCAGTGTAGAAACACTTCACTATTCATGGCCAACTTACTACTTTTAAAGACTATGAAAATACTGGCATCAAGGCAAAGTCAGCTTTACATTGGAGTCCAACAGGAGTTAAACTTACCCAGTTGGAGATTAGCAATCTGTTAGATCCTCTGGACTCTACTATTACAAAAACAATTAAAAGTAAAAAATGTATTGAGCCTTTTACCTATGCACAGAACTCAACCCTCAACACTTTTTCTATGTAACTGTTGAAATAAAAAATTAAAAGGACCAGGAAGAGTAAGGCGAAACAAAACTGAAAACCATATTACCTGAAAAAAATGCAATTGCCTTTGTTGAGTTTGAAGATGAGGCAGAGAAAAGCTCTGGAATTTCAGGGATAGGGCTGAGAAGAGGTTTCTTAGAAGCCATCTCTCTCTCCCCATATAAAGACTTATTTACTTTTTTCCTTCTTCTTTTCCCATAGCCTGTATGTTTTACTTTCTGAAAAGATGGAGAAGGCTGAATAAAACATAGTGTAATTATAACGTTACTGTACAAGAGAATATAGGCAGCAACAGGAAACAGCACCCTTTAGAAAACCTTTATTAAATCAAATTAATCACTAGAACACACAAGAAGAGACACTTGCATTGAGTGTCCAAATTCAAAGATGAAGGCAAAATCACCAGCTTCAACCGGCCGACTTACTTGTGTTTTTTTGGCAGCAGACGTGGTTACATTCCTTTGTCTTTGAACCTTGTTCTTTCCTGGATTTTGAGTATCCTTAGCATTCAGATTACTTGTGGCTTTTGAGATGCTGAAATCGGTCTCCTCTGAAATGGTGCTACACTGTTGAACAAAACGAATTTGAAGCTGTTGGGTGCATGTGTGCCGTGCTTATTTTTAAAACATGGTTCATGTGTCACAAGAATCACATTGCAATAGTCTTGTTATTTCACAGATGATGCTGTTAAGAGCTAGACACTGACAACTGGAAATTAAAGCTTTACAAAGCTATTCTTCTCACACAGTACAGTACAAAGAGGAGATTCTAATGAGAAAAGCAAAAATGTTCATCTTCAGCTATAAGAGATTCCCATCTGATACTGTGTCTGCCTTACGGCTAGCAGCCAGGGTAACTGGAATGAATGAATTGCTTCAGCACTAGGCTGAGTGCCACATTTTCAGCGATACCTGAAGTCATCACAGGCTGTACGATCACCTTGACTTTATCAGCCCCTACCTCATGTTCCTGTGACTCAAAGAAATTCAACCACATAGAAAAATCAGACAGAAAACTTTGTCCATTCTCCCCAATTTTCTGTGATTCTAAGTTTTTAGATTCCCATGAGTGAAGACCCTAAGCTTACGAATGATTGTCTATGCATAAATCTTCTAAATATTGTCAGATTATTTAAGAAAGTTCCTGGAAAATTCAATAATAAATTTAAGCATTAGACCATAACCAAAAATGTTTTTAATAACTGGAAAACCACTTTCACTCAAAAATGGGATTTCCTTAAGATATTATCTGCATTAACATGATATATCCCCATATACCTGGATATAAACAACCCTCATACCTAAGCCTGTAAAGCAGGCTTACAAGCACCAGGAGCTATAAATGTAACAATTTTGCCTGAAGAAGTTAAAAATGGAACGAACAAATGTCACCACTAAACTCACCTTCCTTTTAGCAGAAGAAGGAGTTTCTGTCATATCAGGTTTGTCACTTTCTGCTACTATATACAAAGAAAATAGTATTACTGATTCAGTCTCAACACAGAAAGTTAATCACATTTTGAGGAAAGTATCCATATCACTTGCAACATTCCGCACAGCATCTTTATTCATCTTAGTCTTGAATAACCAGTAGCAGTCTTAAGCTCTATCAAACACAGCAAGATTTTAAAAAAGCATTACAGCTTGCTTTACAAAACGGAGGAAAACAAACATGGTGAGGATTTGGTAACAAAGTCCTTGCACAACTTTCATTGAGATATATATGTACACATGCACAATCCCCCTTCAACTTTCTGTCATTGTCTTGCTTTTAAAACCTCCAAAATTACCACAATCAAGATAGTAAGAAAAGTATTTAAAGCGCTAAATCTAATTAGATCAGTCACTTTCAGAGAAGTATACAAAGTCAAGTAAAGTCCAGTTAACCAAATGAACACCTAAACACTGCAGCTCCTGCAAACACCACTAGAAGAAAGCAAGAGCATTTCCATTTTAGCACAATTGAAATAGATCGCTTTATATGAAAAAAAAACCAACCCAACCCTTGTGCCATATCTCAGTTTTCAGAGACAGAAAGATGTAATCTCTAATGACAAAAAAAACAAGGTGGGGTTACCTTCTGCAGTTTCAACAGGTAAAAGGTCTTCTGCAGCAAAAGAACCCTCCAGTGACTCTTGAAGAGGCTCAACACACTCCTTTAAAAAAAAGGAAAGTTAATTTTAGCAATATACCAGATATATACTGAAAAACAGCTTTTGTATCAGTGCTTGGAACAAACAAATGATTTTACTTTTTTCCTTAAAGAACATGACAGCTCATTTGCCATATATGGCAAAAAGAAATACAGTTATCAAAAGACAGCATCAAAAGTATATGAATTAGCAAAGTGAAAAACATTTCATGTGCTACCAGTACTCAATTTTAAACATAGCTCTATAGGCCCAAATGCTACTTAGAATTCAGAAACCAAAAGCAAAAGTTCTCAATGCCATTCTAAAGCTTCCAGAAGGCTCTACTGTAATATTTTAGCAATTTCTTTTCAAAATGAAGCAGACTGGGGAAAAAAATAAACCAAACCTGAACATTCAGAGAGACCAAGAAGCGAGGTATATGGCTTACAAAACAAGACTCCAACAAAACCCTTACATTGCTGCAATCAAAGTTCAGCTGCGGGAAGGGTTCCTCAAGGAGACTTGGCCTTGCAGAAGGTCTGTTGCTTTGTAGGCCTGGATGTCTGACTGGGGTTGCTCCTTTGCGCACTGGAGTATTTGCAGGTAAAGCTTCATCAAATATTTCTGGGCTCAGGACTCTTCCAAAAGTGACTCTCTTCCTTAGCTTTTTGGAGCTCCATGTTTCTGTAATAAAATACACTGGCTGCTTAGTGGACTTGGAAGTGTCAGAGAGCAGACTTTTCAAGGGCTATTTATGGGTCTTAACACTCTCTTAAAAATCACCACCACCCAAAACAAACAGCAAAATACCACCTTTACATGTTCTGGGGATTCCACCAGAACCTTCAGTATAGCTTTGCTACAGTATCAAGAATTAATGAAGAAAAAAGACTAGGAATGACTGGCTGCTCTGCAAGTTCTAGCTGTCAAGTGTGAAATGTCTTAAAAACCAGGTGATTCTATTCTGGTGTTAGAGGTCAAGTTTCAGAGTGATTTTTTGAGTTTCTTCTAATAGACACTATTTTTCTTGCTCACCTTATTTTCTCCTTCACACAGTAGGACTCCACACTTGAGCTACTTCAGTGGTGGTTAATGCATATCATTCTTCAGAATTAGCAAAGAGGCAAAGCCTTATGATGCCACAAAGTACTTCATCTATTTAAAAACCAAAATGTGAATCTGACCTGTTTGCACTGCTTCAAAGGTTTCTGCACAGCTGGAGACTGCAAGAGATTCACCTCCTCCTCTGTCAATCCCACTTAAGTATTCCTACCAAAATCAAGTAATACAATCATCTGTTCAACATCATTTAATTAAAATATTGTCCTTGTGCAAATCAAAAGTGAAAATATCTTTTTCTGTAAGCAACATTTAACAATCAGTCTTAGTGCTTACAAAAACCTACTTGTTTCCTAAATGAATAAAACTCAACAACATAATACGGATCTTACCATGAAAACTTCAAGCAAAGCTTCCAAGATGACCAAACAGCAAACAGATACCCACTGAGAGCATTAAATTATTTCAGAATACATTTTAATTAGTAAAAATTATCTTCAACAATTCAACTCCTGGTAGTTCAATGATGACTGCAGAAGTTCATCCTTAGGACTCCACGTGAGTCAGTTAACCCACCTTGGTCAGCATTTTCTTCAGCACAGATCGCAAGAGGGAGCCGCTCTCTCTGTGCTCAGGTAGGGAACCCCTTCCTAAGTGTTGTGGTGTGACTGCTGCCTTGCTTTCATCACACATTCCCAGGCTGGGCTCTTCTGCAAAGCTGACTTCCCTTCTGCTTAGATCTGACATAACATTACTTGTAACGTCTTTAGTGATGTGCTCACAACTGGAATCTTTAGAGCAAGTAGACACATATGACAATTAAAAACTGAAGTAAAATTGAGAAGATTACAGCATTAGCAACATGAAATAAGTGTCCACATCTCCATAGAGACTGTGCATCAACACCACAAAAAATCCATGTTTCCAAATCTCTGCCATTATTGTGCTACATTTACATTTCATATTTTGAGAAATTTACAAACCATACAAAAGTAGAAAGGGAGCCCTACAGAAGGAAAAGGCATTTTACACAAGGATTTCTCTCTCATTAATGTAAATTGGGGGGAAAATACATATGCTCTAATGTACACAAAGGGACTCTACATTAACATCCCTCTCTCCTTCACAAGCATGAACTATGCTTTTCCCTATAAATGGCCTGACTAGCAAAACTAAGGGAAAATCCAAACAATTATCTCCTGCCTGTGTGTCAGTTTAAGCTTGCTTTTCCTATCAGAATCAAACTGCCAACACACCACCCACAAGGCCCTACCCCACCTTTCAAATAGTTCCTTTCCTAACAGCTATTTCCTTCCTATGAATTGTGCTTAAGTAAAAGCATGTTTAATGCTAACTTGTACTGAATGAGCTCTGCATTCAGTTTTAAACTTTGACTTGAGCCTCCTCCACAGCAGCGCTTGAAAAAAAAAAAAAATCACTATTTTCAGTGTTATGCCTTTATGTCAAAGCTGTGTCAGGTTTCTACTGCATTATTAATTGTAGACAAGATGACAGATATGGAATGACTGCTTGAGAAACATTTCCTTGCAAATATTTTAAGTATTTTTACTTTCTAATAGAATATAACAGAGATTGTAATAGTGATGAATCCTCTTACCATGGCCTGTTTCTAAGACATCTTTAGTTATAACAGTCTCCAACGACTCAATAGGATTGTGTTGCTCGTAAACCCTTTCCTAGAGAAAAAGTTACAAGATTATATATATATATATATATATATATATATATATACACGCACACACATATATGTTCTCTGCCCACACTTATACTATAAAGTACCTTTGAAACAGCAGCAGCAGGCTCAGTGACAGATGCATCCTGGCATGAAGACAAGATCTCGGTATCAGGCTTACTGCTGCTGGTCAAATTTTGTCTTGGATTCTCTTTCAGATCAGCTCCATTGTCACCAGACATGAACTTTTCACTGCACTGATCCAGGTTCTGCTCTTCTGTAAAACATACTTTGTTCTGAGCTGCATCAGATAAAAACAAACAACAAACCACAAACTTCAGGTTTTTCAGTGAACGCTCTTTTTGTGGCTCTTCACCCAAAGAATGTTGAGATTCAAAAAGCTTGGTAACTTTCTAGTCAGGAAAAAGGAAAAAACATGCATTCTAGGTTCTAGTTAGAAAATACCTTTACCAAATCTTTAAAACAAAGCAAGTTCGTTCTTTTCATAGAAATGTTACTAGGCCCACCAATACCAGAGCAGCATTGTAGTTCCTGCTACCAGAGTAGCATTGTAGAAGCATCCACACTATTATTTTCTCACAGTAAAACCATAGTACTGCCCTGACTTGCTTTTGCAATACTTACTATTGTCGCTAACAAGGATGTCACACCTCAGTAATGTAATGGCATTTCTAAAATTACTGTACTTGAAAGTTATTAAACAAGCCTGTACATCATGATCAAGAGAGATAACAGTTACCACAGCTAAAACCAGTCATCAGGAAAACCATTCTCAGTTTCATGTAAAAAGTGTGAAAACACTAATTTACTTTTCACTAGGCATTAAAGGGTATAAATCTAGAAAGTAACCCTAAGAAAACAGCTCCCAAAAACCACAAGTGTTTTGGGTTTTTTTCTGGGGCTATTCTGAGAAACCACTATTCAGGATGCACTAAGAAATAAGATGGGTTTAAACAAACAAAACCTGTGCCAAACCTTACAAAGGAGCATTTCTTTTGCTGTTTATGTTAACTGTTTGTAGTTTAGTACTTTTTGGCCTAAAGGCAGACCTCACATTTAAATAAATCATTGACCACAAATACAACCAACTTACAAGAGCCTGTTCCCTGGGAAGCAGCATTCACTTGTGACAGTCCAGAGGAGCCAGTTTCCGCTTCAACTTCTTGTACTGATTTAAAAGATGCTTGAAAAGCATCTATCTTGTCCTTCATCGACCTGGCAGGTTTGTATTTTAAAGGACTAACCTGCTAAAACAAAATTAACCACAAGATGATTTGGTTTTACCCCCAAGAGAAATGGGCTTATTACTTTCTATTTGTACCTTGGCACAAAAGAAACTCTGAGAAGAATCAAACCTTGTATTTAATCTGGCTTCAATTTGAGCTGTGTGATAAAAATATGCAAAAAAAAAAAAAAAAAAAAAAAAAAAGGAATTGTACTGAGAGATCTGTTAAGTTTTACTGCCCCTGAAAATCTGCCCCTCTAGATCAGATCCATAATTTGGCTTCTGACAGCCTACGCTACTTTAAGAACATCTCATTATAAACCAAGACACTTATGCTAGCATTTACTTCACTTTAAACTATTAACACTTTAGTCAAAAAATAAGCATGGCAAAAACAGGTTATAGTGCATACAAGTTAAAATATATGAGGAAGCTGGGCACAGAGAGAAGACTCCAAACTCTGCACAAGCAAACCCTCTAACATCCCTCTATTCTAACATAAGGTGTCCAAGGGAAGTCAATAAAATTCAGGCCATGGTAGCTCCTCCTCCTGGCTTCTTCTGGACACCTGCCTTCTCTTGCTGCCAGCATATGTTGATATTTGAGAAAGACTCTCACCTGTGTTGCTTTTTTCCTGTTGCTTCTCTGCTGGGCAAGGTACTGAATAAGGGCGTTATTTTCTGGTGACCCCCGTACTCCAATTGTTGATCTTCGGCGAAATTTTAATGGAGTTGGAGATTTCCCTGAAATAGGAAAAAAAAATAAAATTAAAAACTAAAATTCTGTTTGGAGTAAGCATATCTAAAGTTTTAAAATGGCATTTTTGTTTAAGAGTGATTTGTGTTTATGAAAACATCTAAAGTTAGCTGCTCAGCTCAAAGATCCTTCCTGAGCAAAACCAGATTAGCTAAACTACATTAACTACAATTAACTAAAGTACATACCAACCAAGGAGCTGTATTTCACTTTTCCCATTGGTAATTAAGGAACTGTCTACCAGTATTTGCAGGATTTGTCTTACTACTGCCTTGTGAAACTCACCAACACCTCATTAACCGTACAGAAAAACATTCAATAGGGAATTACAGCAACATCATCACATCACAGTCCTATCCTTGGGCATATTTCAACTCAGCCAGACAACCTGACCTGAACTGAAGCTTTTGATGAGGTTGGACTAGATGAACCCTAGATACCCCTCTGAGGAAGACAACTGTCATTAGGCACTCCACCCTTACCAAGAGATGGTGTAGTGAAGCTTTCTTGAGTAATCCCAAATTCACCAGTTGTTACAGCTGCAAAACCAACACTTTTTTCCCGTTTCTCTGGTGTTCCACAATCAGATTTTTCTGCTTTGTTCCTATTAGGTGTGAAGTAGCATTCACCACCCAAAGAAACAGGCCTACTTTGTGACAAATTTTCCTTGCTGTTCAAAGGCAAGGGAGGTTCAATGACCACATCCCTTGTTGGTGTATCAGAAAAGCTCCAAGTATACTGACAGCTGCCATCCTCTTCCTTATTGTGGCACAATTCCTTCCCGAGGCCTGTGCTGTGTCTCAGGGTGCATTCTTGCAACTGCGCTTGGTTCAGGTCACTGCCTTTCTCCTTCTTGAATGCCTTGATGACTTTTGATTTAGTCACTTTGCAAATCTTGTGGCCTTTTGAGAGATCAGTGCAAACGGCCTCCTCCTTCCCTTCAGAACAGACACTCTCATTTTCTTTAGCTTTCAGGGGAACATTTACTTTCTTAGGTCGCCCGCGCATTCTTAGTGATGTTTTCTAGGGAGCATTCAGCCAGCCTTTGCTCTCCCGTAATTACATGTACCTAGCTAAAAGAAAAAGAAGATATTTTAATAGGTCTAGAGTAAGAGCAAGAGTTAGCCACCATTCTCAAACTTCTACTCAATCTAGGTTTTCACCTCCAACCAAGTGTTTAACGGGGGGGGGAAGGGAGAGCCTTATCTCCAGGCAGTTCTACAGAAAAGGACCCAAAAAGGCACTATAAATATGCACAGCAGAAGTGCTTCACACTACCTGTCCACTCCTCATCAATTTCATGTTAGTATAAAGTGTGTTAAGCACAAAGTATGTGTGAGGTGTCCCTGCCCATGGCAAGGGTTTGGAACGAGATGAACTCAAGGTCCCTTCCAGCCCAAACCATGATATAATCTATAATCACACTGTGATCGTTTTGCTGTAAGTGTTGCAATAAGTATTAGCAGTTTAGTAGGAAGCAGAACACTGAGAACGCTAAGATTTTCTGCACGTAGCTCCTCGGATTTTAAGTCAAGCATGTAGAACTCAACGTCAGTTTGAAGGTTTGGTTCCACAGAAACTTGGGTTCCACTCTGCGCCTTTTTCCGCACTTGGTGCAACAATTACACCATTAAATACTCCGTGCACAACTTGCTTTAAGCCCACGCTAAGAAATCGGTGCCTTCCTCTACCCGGTTGTACCAAGGAGACGTGCCTGCGCCAGGGAGAACCTCCCTGTGCGGGCTCACCCCCATTACCTCAGGGCCCACAACTCCCTCAGCGCCCCCCAAGCGCGCACCGCTCGCTCCTCAAGACCCCTCAGGTACCCTCCCAGCGCTCCCCACTCCTTTATATCCCCTCACCAGTGCTCCCCACCTCCACTTCCTCCTCCTTCACATTCACCTTCGGCCCGGCTCACCCCACCTTACCGCGACCCCCCTCACGCCTGCCCCAGCGGTTCCCCTCAGCCACCGGCTCGGTCCCGCCTCAGGAGTTCAAACCGAACCGCACTACCGCGTATCCCTCCGCGCCTTTGCCCCTCTCATCCTCTTCCCCCTTGCACTCCCCGCCTACCACGGATAAAGGTGCACAGAATGAGAGCGGGCCGTGAGGAGAGGCAGACCCGCGCCGCCTCCTCCCCTGTCCCCGATAGGGCTCCCAGGGACAGGGGGACTCTTTGCCCCTTGACTCGCGGAGGGATCACAACCGTTAGCGAAGCGCCAAATCATCACTTTCAAATCGCCAACGATCCGCGCCCACGTGACATCGCGCGACAAATCAGGGGCGACTCCGCCGCACCTCAAGCTTCATGCAAATGAGGGACTCTACTCCTCCCTTGATTGGATGCAGCCCGCCGCGAGGGGCGTTTCCCCGGCCACCCGCCTCTCCCTCGGTGCGCGTTCGCTATTGGGCACCACGCTCGGGGCGGCGCGGCCGCCATTGGCCGCGCTCATGTCGGTCAGCGGCCGCTGCCTTCCGGGTTCGGCAGGAGGAGCGGGGCAGCCGCCGCCGCAGCAGCAGCATGAGGCGGGTCACGCTGTTCGTTAACGGCAGCCCCCGGAACGGGAAGGTGAGGGGCGGGGATGGGGGGGGGTCCCGCGCGAGCCCCCGCCCGAGCCCCCGCCCGCTTCCGGCGTGGGTCCCTTCTCCCTTCCGGCGCCGGTGCCCGTGGCGGGACCCCCGCGCCGTGAGGAGAGGCCCTCAGCCGCCCCCTCAGGGCCACCCTGAAGGGCCCCGCGGCCTGCGGGTGCTGGCCCTGGGAGCCCCGGCCCCTGCCCGCCTGAGGGGATCGGGGGCCGCCGCACCCCTGGGGCCGCGGTTGAAGCCACCGCCGGGTCGCTGTCACGTTGGGGGTGCGGGTCCCGCCACGCCCGTCCTGGGGAAGGGTGGGAAGCGATGGGAATGGTGACGGTCCCCCAAATGTCGCTGTTGGAAGCAGAAGGAAAGATGACTTTTCTTCGGTGTGCAGTGTGTTACCTGCGTGCATGGCTCCGCTCCCGCTTTTACACCGCTTCCTTAGGGAAACCTGGAATGGTTTGGGTCGGAAAGGACCTTGAGACCATCCAGTTCCAACCCCCCAGTGAGGTGCAGTAATGTGCCCACATTAAAGCTTTCTTTGCTTCTGAGATTCTGATTATATGATAAGACACAAAGCTATTGAAGAATAGACCTTTAGTTTCTTATTATGGGCTTTTGCTTGCTGTCCTTGCAGCCTGTCCTTTCAGATAGTGCAGGATGTCCTACCTTTCTGGGTGGTTTTATGTATGTCTGGTAAATATGAGAGTTCAGTTGGATATACTGCAGTATATTCTCATTACACTGCAATATATTCTTCCCCAAACAAAAGTTACTACATCAGACCCTAAGGAAAGTCTTCATCTTGCAGGATGTCAGGCCTCTGCCACGTCAGACTAATGTTGCTGGAGAGCCAGCAAATAATCCTGCTTAAACCCTCTGTGTGTTTAAAATCTATGAAGTACTGTCTCAAGAGGGAAACTAGTGATGTTTCTAGGCACTACCAGCATAGGAAAAGGCCCTGTGGTTCTACTAAGTGCTACCCCTGGTATCCAGGTCTTCCCAGCCATGTCTGGAGTGAAGACAGTTAATGGGACTGTAGATTAACCTTTGGTTTTAGAGAGGGAAATACATTCTGGAGGGGCTTAGTGCAAATAGCAGTATTTCTTCAGAGAAATAAATAACTGAATCATCATCTAGTCCCACGACTCATTCCCTCACTGCCTCCTCAAGTGCCTTGACTTGTGGTCAGAGGTGTACAGGTCTGCTTCTAACATCAAAGTTGGTCTGTTTCGTTTTAGTAGTAAAGATCTTTACATGATCTCCCTCCCTCTGTAAGAAGGTATTGAGAACCTGGTAACCAGTCTGAACAGAGCCTGCAGCTACTTCTCTCTTCCACAGGTTGTGGCTGTGTATGGGACTTTATCAGATTTGCTGTCTGTGGCTAGTAATAAGCTTGGAATAAAAGCGACCAGTGTTTACAATGGAAAAGGTGGACTCATTGATGATATCGCTTTGATTAGGTAAGGCTTAGCCAATGGAAGTCAAATCACGGGTATGGCTTAAGAGACTCACTGGCCTATTCATCCTCTGGCCTTACTCAATAACCAGTGCTTTCCTTAAAACCAGATAGTATCATTCCCAGGCAGTAAGCCCAAAAGTGCTTTCATGCCTCAAGGGAACATAATACTGGCTTTTGAACTTCAAAGCATTTCTGCTTTGATGAATCAGAACTCGATACTGATTGAAGCTGCATTTTATGCCTTTTAGCATCCCCCTGCGTTGGTTCGTGGTGTGCTGTGTGTACCAGGAAAATCCCAGTGTTGTAGTCTGCACTTGGGTGAGGGTTTTCCAAAAAGGAGACAAACTCCAGCATTGCCTGGGCCTTGTAGAATAAATACTCCCAAAGCAGGGAGAAAAAAAAACTGTTTTGTAAAACTGAGCTGGTTGAGTAACAGAAGTGATGCCTACCTGGTTGGTTCAGATAACATCTCCAGTAACGTCAGTCACATTACAGTCCACTGGAACCTGCAAAATAGAGAAGGAAATCAGATACTGAAGCTCTAAATAATGGCAACTGATTATCATTGACCTGAAACAAATCAGGAGAGGTTCCCACTGTGAGGGAAATGAAGAAGAAATTATGAGTAATCTTATTTTTCCTCTTCCTCTCTCAGGGATGATGATGTTCTGTTTGTCTGTGAAGGGGAACCATTCATTGGTAAGTCTCTAATTCTTACTCTCTTAACCTTTTCTTTAATGGAAAGAGGTTTGGTTTTGCTTGAATGTAAATCTAAATGTTTATTTTCTGGTGGTTTTCTTACCATATGGAGCATTCAGAAATGAAACCATTTCTCTAAGAATGACTTTCTCCTCTGTGTAGATCCTCAGACTGATGGGAGACCTCACGAAGGACTGACAGGGTCCCACACGGACTGGTTAACACTCAATGTTGGAGGCCGATACTTCACCACTACACGGTAAAACTGCAGCTCGTTGGGTTTGTTCTTAAAGGACTTGAATAGGTTATAACAGTTGGTGAGGCTTCAGGTGCTCTTGCAAAAGAGCTAGAAAATAACAGCATGGAGTTGGAGGTCTTCGACTTCTGATGCTTTCTCTGGTTTTTGTATTTAGTTTTACATATGAAGTAAAACTGGTGCAAAGGCTGAACAGGCCTGGATTTAGCCTTGGAATATTTCAGTTAACCAACTGCTTTGTATTTAAAATATGATACGTCAGGGCAGAAACGTATTTTGCTACCCCACTGTATGAGTTAGCAGCATGGTAGCTGTTGGGAATGTGTATCACACACCAGTATTGCCTTCAACCTGTCAAGGGCAGAAAATACACACGAACCCCCAGGTTTGTCTTGTGAGCAAAACATTCACTCAAATTGTGCTGCCTTTGTTTTCTAGGAGCACTTTGGTTAACAAAGAGCCTGACAGTATGTTGGCCCACATGTTTAAAGATAAAGGTTAGTATATTGAAATAAGCTTTATTTGTTAAGGAACAAATTAGCAAAGTAGGCCAAAGGCACTATCAAGTTGAGACTCTTGTTCGTAATTTAAAATATCAGAAGTATGAAGTATCATAGCAGAACATATAAACTTTTCCAAATATTTATTTCTCCATTGCCCATGGAGCTTATCTCCCAAACTGGAAATACAATTTCCATCCATAGTTAATATTTTGGGATCTTTGATTTTAAGTTTTCATCTTTTGTTGCATCTTGCTCACTTTTGTCAACGAAATCAATGAGCAAACACTGCACAAGAGCCTTTAGGAAATGGGGACAGACTAACATCTTAATTCTGCTTTGATTTGAGCAAAAATTCTTACGTATGTGATAAAACATTTTAGTTCTTTATAGCAGGAGGAGCAAGTTCATTTGAAGGTGATTTGCCCCCTCACACTCCTCTCTTCCTTCCTATTCTCTAAGAAACACCCTTTCAAATGGAATGTTTCATAATCCAGTCCCCTTTGGTAATAAAGTTCTGAAACTGAAGCAAATGCTCTTCTATTACTACATCAAATTTAATTATATATATGTTGTGGAAACAGATGCTTGGGGAAATAAGCAAGATCATAGAGGAGCATTCCTAATTGACCGCAGTCCAGAGTATTTTGAGCCAATTTTGAACTATTTGCGTCACGGACAGCTCATTGTAAATGATGGCATTAATTTGCTAGGTAGGTATTACCCGTATGACATCTCCTAAATTATTACTCTTTGGAAGTTAAACTTTGCCCTCAGGTAAAGGTGGTAAAATGAGTGGGACTTTTGTATGCTCATCTAAGCGTTTGGGATATTTCTTTGGTGAATTTATTCTCAAGCATTGCAACTCCTCATGCTTGGTTTAATGAAGATAGACTGCTTAAACTGATTTCTCTTGACAACATGAAAAATTCTCTCTAATGGATTAATACCTGGCTTTGATGTCTTTAACCTAATACTGGTATTGGAAACATCCTTTCTGAGTTATTTTTTCCTTTTAGCTGAAAGCAAGCTCACTTTTCCTCTGTCCAGTTCCATCTATTGTAATGTTTTGGTTGTCATTGTGATGAGTTTATGCTTTTCTTTGAGACTCCTTAAACTTCAAGTGATCTATTTATTCTTCTTTGTTAGTGTAGCTAAAATGTGTAAAAGGTGTTACAAGTAGGGAGAGTCAGGTGAATGGATGCTTCTCCACCAGTAAAGATGGATTAACTCAAACTTTTTGGCATGTTCTTAGTGTGGCTTTCTCCAGTGAGGGAAGAAGAGTGCTGTCTTGTTTAACACCTCCCTGTGCATAACAAATGCTGCTTTGTTTTGGTAGGTGTTTTGGAAGAAGCCAGGTTTTTTGGTATCGATTCACTAATTGAACATCTAGAAATAGCTATTAAGGTAATTTGTTTTCTTTAATACACAACTGCACGTGCCCTATCCTCCCAGGCAATATACAATGTTAGTTCTATCTATATTAGCTTTTAAACAACTCTCTCAACAGAATTCACAGCCAGCTGAGGATCATTCTCCTATATCTCGCAAGGAGTTTGTCCGGTTCTTGCTGGCA